GGCTATCTAGGACTTCTTTTTCCAAATGCTGTTAGGCATTCTCTCACTTAACCCTTTATAGTTACATGGCTTCAGAGTTTACACAGAAAATGTTCACAAACCTTGCCTCAGTGGGCTGTCCAGCAATGCCATGAAGGGGACAAGAAAGCAGCTGTGGTTATAGATATTTTGCAGATGAAATGTGCCTCACGGATGGCAAGGCTGGGGCAGGCGCTCAGGCCTTCTGACTCAACCCATTATATCGTGTTGTCTATTCAAGAGATATGTATTATCACCTAGGTCATTTCTAGGGCTTTATCTTCAATGTTTTAATGTCCACAACCTTACTCATGTCTCTTTTAGTGAAAGATGCGTGCATGTATCTCATATGCATTTTTTATAACAATGGCAATAATGTATTACTAGTGTCCCTAAATAAAGAAGGGAAAAAAAAATCTGAATACATCTAGAGCATTAAAAGTTTATTCTTTTTTTTTTAAGATTATTTATTTATTTATTTGAGAGAGAGAGAGAGAGAGCACATGCCGAGGGAGAGGGAGAAGCAGACTCCCCACTGAGCAGGGAGCCCGATGCGGGGCTCGATCCCAGGACCCTGGGAACATGACCTGAGCCGAAGACAGACACTTAACCAACTGAGCCACCCTGGGCACCTCCTAGGTGTTTATTCTTGAAAATATATCTTAGGGATGATAAAAGAGGGAGGGAGTGGAAATAAGGAAATAGAATTGTGAAATGTCATATGGGATCAGTGTTTACTTGATGGTGTATCTTCCTGGATACTTTATCTTTAGGATAAGCTGACTATAAGGAAAGCCAAGATTTTTAGAATTGGATCAACATTAGGGGCAAGAGCCCGGTCTTGTCTTTGCTACCTCAGATGTGATCTCCATTTTGCTAGGAGCTGTGGAAAAGCAGCATGCACCGGAGTCTTACGTCATACCATGCAAGTGCACTGCTGTCCCTGTAAAATGAAATCTGAGAGTTGCTGCTTTTGAAAGCCAGAGGTCAGTTTCATTGTGGAAAATGAATGGGGAGAGAAAATGGACTTCAGAAACATTTGTGCTTTCAGCACTGGACTAGGATAACTCTACTTAGACTTTCTTAACAAAGTCTGACTATGCCAAGTCATTTATAAAATCAAGCCTGCAATTTTTGTCCCTAGAAGAGTAATGTGAGCTAAAAGGGAATTACGTTGATTTCTCAGGCAAAAATGACATTTGAAATATTTAGCAACCAGTACAACAAAGCCCTTTAACCGATTAGAAGAGATGCTCAGAGGCTCATTTCTAGTGCTCTAACAGCATCCTGAATGCCCCCAGCTCTGCCAGGCATTGACCTTTAAATTTCTGGAATGTACATGTGGGGGAGGGGGGTCCAGGGATTCCATGAGGAGAGAAGGGAGTGATGATGCCACATTGAAGGGACTCAGAAAGGAGGGTCGTTTACTTCAGAGCCATGGTTATTTACCAGTTGGAATGGAAGTGCTTCAGTGTTTTAACAGGCAAATTTGTGATTGTCTCTCGGAATGGTCCTTGCAAAATCCCAGGGTCCCTCATCTCATTCTCACATAAAGCTGTGTTGAAAACCATGGATGTAATTCATCAGTAATTTGCCTTTATCACGGCACATAATCACAAGTGAGTGGGGATCACAGTGGTCAGGAATATACATTCCAAGGAACATGAAGCCTTCTAAGTTTTGCTCCTGTTCTCTCCTGAGGGTAATATCTTAGCTTCAACTCATAAAATGTCAGCACAGACTCTGATATTCTTCTTGCATCTAGGAGACTCTCTTGGAGTAAATTCATTAAATCACCAAACATTTACTAAATGCCTACAACTGGAAGCATTGGTAACTTAGGCTTTTGAGGATCCTTGACTCAAAATTTCAGCCCCATATGATTTAATCATTGAAGAATAAACCTTGAGCACCAATAACATCAGGAGTCATTAGTACCAGAGCCAGGAGACTCAGGAAATAGATGCCATCGGCTGGCCTTGCTTTTCTCTGGACATGCCTACCCAGGAGAAGTGGGCAAAATGTTTGTGAAAGTTGACACCTCCTGCAAGAGTGATAGCTTAAAGATTTTAATGGTCTTTGTAGAGTGTCTGTAAGTGTTTTTTATGAATACAAGGAGATCTTTTTTTTTTAAGATTTTATTTATTTATTTGACAGAGAGAGACACAGTGAGAGAGGGAACACAAGCAGGAGGAGTGGGAGAGGGAGAAGCAGGCTTCCCACTGAGCAGGGAGCCCGATGTGGGGCTCGATCCCAGGACCCTGGGATCATGACCTGAGCCGAAGGCAGACGTTTAACGACTGAGCCACCCAGGCACGCCTACAAGGAGATCTTTTTGAGGATTTTTAATCCTTATTGACAGAACAGCTGCTCATCTACATGATGGGTGCCTTTGTGTAAACTACAAAAAGATGTCCCATCACTTGATGGTCCTCTTAGCTGAACTCCTTTGTGTAGCCACACCCTGCACAGGCCGTAAGTAGCACATCCCACCCATAGGTTCTAGTTTCCTTGCCTTCCCAGAGCTATTGGCACGGGGGCATCCTTGAGGGATGTTGCAAACCTATTCCCTTTGGGTGCCATGGCCCCAAAGGATTAAGGGAGTGCATTTATCTATGCTTGATACCAGGGAGTCTTGTGGGCATCTGAGCATTCTAGAAAGATTGTTGCCTTGGAGGAATGGTCAGACATGCTGGGTTCTCATCCCACTCAGATCTCCATTTCTGTGGGACCTTAGTTAGGTCACATCCTCTTCGGGACATATTTTCTTTATGATAAATTGTTGGTTAAGGGATCCTGACCTGATCAATGTCCTGTGGTATTCCTTCCAAACAGCAGTAGATGACCTGGAGTTGTTTTCCATGTTTATAAGTCTTAATGAAAATCAGACAATGGTCTAGATGTTCATATGTGTTATTACTTAATAAAATGTGGTTTTTTAGACACTATTTTGTAATTCACGAGTCTCTTGAGAGAATTTCTCAAAGGCCCACTCGGAGGGGACAGATTAGCGACCTGTGGACAAGATCATCCCCAGTTTAGGTCTTCTCTATCTGAACTGTCACCTGAACAACAGGGATGAAAAACACCTTCAAATGCATAGGAAAAGTAACATTTATCAAAAACAAAATCCATTTTATTGCCATGTGAACTTAGAGATTTACTACCAAATGATACCGCTACTATTTAAATTTCAAAGTGTGGTACAAGGGACAGGCAGCATCAGCACCCCTGGGAACTAGGTGGAAAGGCAAATTTTCAGGTCATATCTCAGACCCACTGAATCAGAAATTCTGGGAGGATGTTGCACACTGTGTTTTCAAAAGTGCTCCAGGGGGATCTGGCTGTCCCTTAAAGTCTGAGAAGCAAGGAAGCATTTTAGCTTCTCAAAATAGTGTCTTGAATAACACATCGCTATATTCTCAGCATCACTTGATGAGTGTCACTTGGACAACTGTTTTTACTGCCATTTGATATATGTCAGGCACACAGCTAAGTTGAATGACTCAGGGTCATTTAGTCAGTTTTATATATTTATTATTGTCTCTTGCCATATTTGGTATTTGGCATATAAACATTACATCAGTTTCTCCTCCGCTAAAGCCGACCCCAGTTTTATGGCCTTTTACCTATTTTTGGTGAAAAGCCTATCACCCATGTTCTTTCAAGTTCTCTAAGACAATGGGTGGGTGAATCTAATTTATTACTTATTTTTCACTTTCACTGCGCTCATTTTTTGATATCTTGCTCAAAAGATTGTGAGGGAACAGCTGTCTACTTGGGGTATCTAGCATATGTATTTTATAAAATTTAAAAATACAACAGAAATGGTAGAATACACCTTGAACAAAATTTTTAAAGATAAAATTTTAGAAGTTAAAAAGGAAGAAAAAAATTTAACTCACCCATAATTCTCTGACCTATCATTAGCAATCAGTTTAGGGTTATATACCAATAATCACATTTGTACAAATGTGGAATTATGTTGTATGTGTCATTTTGTAGAATTTTTTGTTTTTTTAATACATCTTGAAAATGTTTGTCCACAAATAATAATATTCTTTCATAACTGTAATCATTGGAAACAGAATATGTACATATATGGAGAGGGAGAGAGAGAGAAAGAGAGGTGAGGGTGGGGGGATTGATTTGGGGAACTGGCTCATGCAGTTGTGGAGACTGGCAAGTCCATAATCTAAAGAGTAGGGGTGCCTGGGTGGCTCAGTCGGTTGGGCATCTGCCTTCGGCTCCGGCATGATCCCAGGGTCCTGGGATCGAATACCGCGTTAGGATCTCTGCTCAGTAGGGAGCCTGCTTCTCCTTCTGTCTGTTGCTCCCCCTGCTTGTGCTCTCTTTCTCTAGGACAAATAAACAAATTAAATCTTAAAAAAAATCTAAAGGGTAAGCTGGCAGGTTGGAGACCTAGGGAAGAGTTGATGTGGTTTGAGTCTGAAGGCAATCTGCTAACAAAACCCTCAGGGAAGGCCTTCAGTTGGTCAGATGAGTCCTATTCACATTACAAAGAGCAATCTGCCTTACTCAAAATCTACTTATTTAAATGTTAATCTCCTTTGAAGAATACCTTCACAGCAACATCCAGTGTATTCAAGCAAATTCTGGGAACCATCACCTAGCCAAGTTGATGCACAAAATTAACCATCACAAAAATATTACCTTTAATGGGTGTGTGTCTTTCATTTTATATATGAACTACAGTGTATGCAATCCCCTAAGGTTGGAGATTCAGGTTGTTCCCAATTTTTTCATCCTTACACACAGCACATCTTTGGCTATTTGACTCACTTTTGTCTCTAAGATCAAGTCAGAGTGTAGAAAGGAATGCATATTTCTAACTTTTTCAAGAATTGACTACTTATTGCCTGATTGCCCTTGTAGATGCCTCTACCCCTTGAACCACAACCTGAAGGCTTTGGAGTGGGGAAAATGCCAGGCTCGCCTTTATCTTCTCCTTCCTTCCTCAGCCTGCAGGTCCCTGGGAACTGGAATGATGCTGAGTTCATGGTCCACCTCCTCCATTGAAGAAGTGGCAGAGGCCAGTCCCGAGACACTACGATGGCTGCAATTATACATCTACAAGGATCGTGAGGTCACTAAGCAACTAGTGCAACGTGCTGAGCGAAAGGGCTACAAGGCCATATTTTTGACGGTGGACACTCCTTACCTGGGGAACCGCTTTGATGATGTGCGTAATAGGTTCAAGCTACCACCTCAACTCAGGTAACCATGGGTCTCTGATCACCTGGGCCCCTGAGCTCTTCTTCTAATTCTCTTCACTCTTGTCGTGTACCAGCTCCGAAGGTTATTTTCCCCCCAGTTTCCACATGGGTGCCATGGGGAATTAGATTCTTCACAAAACATTGGTCTGGAAGTATGATTGGCAGGGACCTTGTTTAGGAATAATAGGCTCTGGGTTCTAGAGGTAAGTGCATTTCTTTGTTGAAATTGAAGAGCCACCTATTAGTTTTATTTTTAATTGTATTTGGAACAACTGTGTCTAGGAAGATTAAAAAAAGCTAAAAGAATAGAGACAAAAGAAGCCACATGTTTGATCCCCTATCTTCTTCTTTCAGCAATATTCCTCTTTCATTGTGGTTCATCCATGGGTCAAGATTCATTCATTCACTCATTCACTCACTTATCTAGTAATCAAAATGGAACTGTGATGGTTTTATCAGGTCATTCAGCCTGTCCATTAGCAAGGAACTATCCTTTTCCCTGTAATATTTTAGGACTAGAATCATCTTGTGTCAAAGCTAGGAACTCAGGAAGTTTACTGAGAAAGACCCTCACCTCCCTATTTTTTCCCCCTTTGTTTTTGCCTTCCCCCAGTTCCCCCCAAAATCTGCTCTTGAGTTTTTCATGCCAGTATGTTACTAATAGCTTTCAGGGATAAAACTATCTGAATAAGAATCAAAATCTTAGTTTTAGTGAAGGACATTTTGATGATGGGATTTCAAAGCACCCATCAGAGTATGTGAAATGATAAAGGATGCTTTCCTTGGATCCTGGACCTCATTTTACAACGGGCCATTGCTTACTCTATCTATATGTGAAAAGATCCAAATCCAAAGGATTTCAAAAGCAAATCAGCATTCCATATAAGGACAAGAAGATTGTTAGAAGATAGGAATTCCATGTATATTATAGAGTGACATGTATCTCAACCACCACATAAGTCCGTATACAGTCTTATATGAATGTCATAGAACTATTATATAGCTCTGTTGTGTATACACCTATTTGAGTATAAACTATTGTGCATAAAATCTTGCCATTGAACCATATGTAAATTAGTTGTGTGAGGCTATCTCTGTGATTCTTCCAGGTGGGTTTAGGATATTATTTGTGTATGTGGTACCTTCAATAACCCAATGACAAAGAGAAAATGCTGTCTTGACAGAGCTGTCAATAACCTTGTTCCATGTATCCCAGACACTGGGTTACCCAAACACCCTGTCTCTCAGAGAACAGAAACAAAAACAAAAGTCCTGACATATTCCTACTTCTTGCCAAATTCATCCAAAGTAGATGGCTTCAAATTTCCCTAATATGAAATCTGTATTCACCTTATTTCTCTATTTTGGTTACCTTATTTATTAGACTTTCTAAAATAATTAGTTTCACACTATTTAGGCTTCTGACAGGAAACATTCCTCATGATTTCCCTTTGGACATTTGAAAGAGAATTTGCTATTCCTTTTTCTCCTCCTCTCATTACTACGACTCCTGACAACAACAATAACAAAGAATATAGTAGGGTTTTTTGCGGCTTAAGAAGCACTTTCTTGTTCTGGATAACAAACTGTGTTTCACAGTGGTATCTACTCAGACAGGGGAGATGACACAGGTCATCTGTGCCAGGTCACTCAGTCAGGAGCTGGAAGGCTGATCTGCTTTTTTCCCCTTTTCCTTTGCTCCTGGGCTCCAGCCCAGATGACGAGAAGGACCAGTAGGGAGACAAAGGCCCTTTTCAGCTGTCGATGTGCTCACGAGTGGCCATGACTCCCCAGCTTGTCACATCTCCCATCTGAAGATGATCAAATAATGAGCAACATACCCAGGTTACAGGGAACACAGGAAACACCCCACAGCCTGGTGTCCTGGGCCCCTAGAGCGCACATTGTCCTTGTTTGTCCTCATGGGCTTCAGGGCAGGCCAGTGCCCTCTGGTCCCCTCCTCAGCAGCCCACATTCAGCAGCTGAAGGCAGAGCGTGCTAATGGGAGGCCCAGGCTTCCGCTTGAGGCCACATACAACCAAAAAGCTCATCTGTTACAGCCTGATATGAAATCAGGTTTTTTTCCGCAACTGACCTGACTCATAGAAGGTGAAGCCGGGCTTTTCAGAAGTGAGGTTTGGCAGGCGGGAGAGGCAGGAAATCCAGAGAAGAATGAGTCTGTAAAGCAGTGGCTCCTTCCAGGCCTAGCTACTTCCTCTGCCTGG